TTAAAAAAATATTCAATGAAAAATTGAAAAATATAATATGAAAAGTTACTAAATTTTTTAATGAAAATTTATTAAATTATAAATTTTTTTGTGTTCGAATAAAAAATTAAAATAAAAAAAAGTTATTAAGTAGGTTTAATATATGGATAATTATAAAAAAAAAGTTTATTTTTTACCAAAAAAAAATGAGAAGGAAAACTTATGAATTAAAAATTATGTCGGCAAAATAAAAAATAAAAAAATCATTTTTATTTTAATTTTATTGTAATGTTAATGTATAAAAATATACAAATACATTATAAAAGGAAAAATTTAGAGAATTTTAGGGAAAAACTTTCCCTTCAACCAAACACCCCCTTAGTGTCATCCAGTAAATTTTACGGGGAAGACTAATCCCTCGCCGGCGGCCCATGGAAATATCTATCTGGTCAAAAGGAAAATGTAAATATAAAGTGATTGAAATGAAATTGGCAATATTGGGATGGTCATCGGCATTCAGCTGACTGCTCAGGAAAGATTGTCAAGTCACTGAAAACCATCAACTCTCCGATTGAGAACAGCAGCAAAAGATGTCTAACTCTCACAGGTACGCCCACAACAGCCGGCAAGATGGCAACGGCAGGAACAATCCGAAAACCCACAAGAAATTTGTTCCAAAGAATCAGGACCAAACCCCTACCCCTACTCCGACCTCGCTTTCCGCTTCCCTCAGGCAAACAGATGCCGCCTCATCCACCACTGGCGATGCCACCACTGGTTCCACAAGTAGAAGAGGACTGTCGGGTCACGGTGGCAATTTCGTTAACTACTTGCCTCAAGATGAGGCGGTGGCTGCGGGGCTTGGCGCTGATGAAGGTGGATTGGATCCAGTGGAGTCGCAGAGGGTGGTTGATCTCTCGAATAGAGAGTTGTCTCGTCTGCTTAAACTGAACCCCAAAGAATTCTGGAAAGAAGGTTGGCAAGCATTATCATCCTCATTGCTAAATACTCATAGTTTGATTAATGGTTCATAATTATTGAAATAGGAAACAGTTATCCTTTCTGTGTTTAGTTGTAAAGAAATGGCTTGAATCATGTTTCTGTTTATCAGTGGCTATGGATACTTCTTTGCATGAATTCCTGGATTGCTTCTTACAATTTAGGAGCAGATGGTATGATTTCCCCCATCGTGGAGCCAAGGGGATTGTGGCTGGGGTCATTGTTGGGGAGCTTGAATTAAGCCGTCGTGTTTTTATGCTGTTGTATCGATTGTAATTCTCAAAATCTAAATACTGCCATTTCCCTTTCTATTTATCATATGTATTATGCATGTTCAACCAATTAAGGGCTTCTCTCTGTTGCAGATCTTCCAATAAGGATCCTGGTGCACGGGCTGCTGATAGTCTAAGTGCAAAAGACCATGCAGGTGGGACAGTATCTTCCTTTCTCTGTAATTTGTAGTATGTGGCTTCTTGTGACAGAAAGGAATAGATTTTAAGCTTGATGATATAGAATTGGTATAGCTTGTATAAATTTATCATGCATGTTTTAGTGTCCTGATTGATGTAATTAGTGAAGGAAACAAAACAAAGACTTGGTTTTATATTGTTACAAATTTTAGTTCCCCTGTCCATGCGTACATTTTGTTCACTAATGTTATATGTAGTCCTTTTGCAGGAAAAGAAATTACTTGACTTGCCCAAGCTGTTGGACATATGTGCCATATATGGTCATGAAAATGAAGATTTGACCAAATTTCTGGTAATCACTTTTCCTAGAAAACCTACACGTCTGCAACCCATTTCTTTTCTCAAAACTTGTCAAGACAGCTTGAGGGTTTGCTTTGATAGCTTATCATCATAGTTGAAAGAGTTGTGTTTTTCTTCTGTGTCTTCAAGTACCCATTGTAGTTTATCTAGTCTTGATTGTAACTGATATCTGTCAACTGTCAACTATTCTTGCAAGGTTGAAATCCAAGGCTCTGCTGGTGGTAGTTTTGGTTGTAAAATTTACTTTCCTTACTCCCACCATTTTTAGGGCAACCTCTAATGGGTTGGGACTATTACACTGGAAGTGCATTAAAGTGGGCTGTGTCAAACAAAATATGTATTTATATATACACTCCTAGTTTCATACATGTCATCAGTTAAATGATCTCTGGGTCAGGGTTGAAGAATGGAGAGTTCTTTTTTAACATCTGCATACTGGACATCTTTCCTCTCTACCTCTCTCCTCTATCTCATATAGTTTTGTTTTTCAGGTTGGGAATGCACTTAGAGCCCAGCCTGCAATCCACAACAATTTGACAGGAGTAGTGTCTCATTTCTTAAGTATTATCCACACTATGCATCAGCGCTGCAGCTCATCTTTGGAGGTATTTGGCAAATTTGAAAAGCTAGAGATCTTAAGTTCCCTGATGTGTTAATTCCCTGGTAGCATGCATTTTGTACCACAACAGTGTTTTGGATGGAAATTCTTTAACCTTTATCAGATTCTCATTTTCTGTAAAAGATTGAGTTTAGTGCAAGATAAATTACCCCCCCCCCCTTTTTGTTGTAATGTTCATTCATACTTGCACACAATGATCTCAATGAATGACTGGACATAATTTTAAATAGTTTCTTTTGTTTTGTTTAAGTAACTTTATAACTTCTTCCCAGGCTGATGCATTTATGTGATAAAAGTTCAAACTGTCTGTAAATTATGTCTTAAGATATGCCTGTTTTGGCTGTGTTGATGTATCTCAGAATAGAAGTCTTCAATTAATCCTTGACGGTTACTTACACATGTGTAATTCATGATATCAGGTAATATTTTCTTCAGGAAGCTTTGAAGACCATGAAACTAAACAGCTTCATGCTGATTTTCTGGAGGCAAGTCTCTCTCTATCTCTTGGCAAGTGTGCACGCACATGCTTTTGCATGTGAAGGTGTTGAAAAGTTTCATCTATGGCTCGATGGGCCTTTTGGATTATGTTGAGCAGAGTGGATTAGCTGACTGTGTGTGACAGTTTTTTAAAGCCACATAATAACATGCTGAAGTATTTAGTTATTTATTATCATCTCATGTTAATTCTCATGTCTACATGTTGAGCCTTAAATCTACTATATTTGATCATGACACAACAGGTCATGGACTTCATCAATGATGCCATAGTGTCCATGGATTCTACTGTTGCTGCATACAAACCTGCAACTGTATTCTTCTCCTGCCCTATGGAAATGAGGTACCTCTATAGCTACTAAAATTTCTTTATAATATAAATGTGATAAAGGTTTTTATTTTCCAATCCAATTGAATATCAAATTTCTCTGTTCTAGCAGTTATGGGAATGAGGAGTTGCTCACAACTCTTGCACGTTTGCATGATTCTTTGCTTCCATCATTACAGCGGGGCTTTAGAAGTATTATTACTTCCAAAGATGAAGTGATGACCGATATTGCTACAAGTTTAAAGATGTTGTCAACCAGAATAGTTAAATTTGGTTGGAGATTGTTGGATCTTTGCTATCTCAGCAATGAGGTTTTTGAAAGTGACTTCCCCATTCCAACAGTGACAAAAATATTTCCTGCCAAAGTGGAGGATCCATTCATAAGAGCAGATATTCTGATTCAAACTTTTAGGGAGATAAATGTAGTTTCACTTCAAGTTATGGAGAACCAGAAAAGATACACTTTCCTTCAGGATGTTGAAAAGAAACACAATGTAATGAGCAAACTCGAGAGCCTGCACAATGCTGGTCAGTGCTCTCAACCAATTCATTTTGTTTGGAATAGCATTTTGTCTGTAGTTATCTTTAGATGCTGGAAACCTGTCTTTGAATGGTCTGTTTCACTCCCCCTTCCCACTTCTTTCTCTTTCCATTCTCCAGTACAATAGAACTCATGCTTTAGAGGATACCACTACGAGCACAGAACGGTTACCAAAGAAACTCATGGATATGCATGATCTTTCTATTTATCCCAGAAAATTAAATTATTGATATATTGAACTATTCCAATGTTTTGTTCTTTAGGTAATTTGAGCTTTAACTTAATGCAGGATGGATACACATGGATGGTGAACAATCTCAGTATTTATCTGGAATTATGATGCATTCGGCAGAAGGTCTTGCCAAAGAGCAAATCATTGTGCCAGCTCCTCAGATGAATAATAATAAAGTGCAGATGGATGAAGATGCAGCAATTACGGAGTCTAAAATCAGCCAAATAAAGGATCTCTTCCCTGATTATGGTAAAGGGTTCATAGCTGCATGTCTTGAAGTTTATAACCACAACCCAGAAGATGTTATTCAGAGGATTCTTGAGGGGACTCTTCATGAAGAACTGCAGTGCTTGGACACATCGTTAGAAACAATGCCATTGTTCAAGTTGTCCGCTTTGGGCAATAATGATAAAGGGAAAGGAAAGCTAGTTGATTCAGTAATTGTACCCTCCACTAAGGTAGTGGATGCAGTGAGGGAACACCAAGTTGATGGGCCCTCCATTTCATCTTCATCTACAGTAGGGAGATTTGTTCGGAAGTCTAAAGATGACTTGCCTGCTCATGTTTCTCTTGATACCAGAGAGGGAAATGATGCTGTAAGAAAAGCTGCTCTGGTTGCTCAGTATGAGTATGAAGATGAGTATGATGACTCTTTTGATGACCTGGGTCTAAGTGTCGTGGAGTCAGGTTTTGAAGAGAATGAGATATTGAGTGAGAGAATTAGCTCAGGCTTTGGGAAATCTGTAGGTTCAGAATCTGAAAATTTTGCCCAACCTTCAGCTAGTTCAAAATGGGGCTCCAGGAAGAAACCTCAGTACTATGTTAAGGATGGTAAAAATTATAGTTACAAGGTTGCAGGTTCTGTTGCTGTTGCAAATGCCAATGAAGCTTCAGTAGTTACTCAAGCCCAGGTAGAATTAATATATGGCCTTGGACGTGGTGGCAACCATCCTCTGGGTGCAGTGAAGAAGTTGGTGGAGTATCAGGAGCAAAACAGTCAGTCCAATGTCACTGAGACAGAAGGGAGAGGGAATGTGCAGAATCCCAGAGGCAGGGGAAAGAGGGGAGGGGGACATCAAAGAGAGCCCAATCTGGAGCAAGATAATCAATCTGAGGAGACTGAGGTGGAAAGTAGAGGGAATATGGGAGGTCACAGGGGCAGGGGAAGAAGGGGAGGAGGGAGAAATCACTACAGGAAGGATAGGGCCATGAATAAGCACTTCTCCGGATTGAGTGGTTATTAGACAGGCGAGAGGGATCCACTTGTCACTTCAATTCCTATGGTGCCATACAAAATTTCCCCAAAATTATTAAAGACAAATCTTCCACAGGAACAAAACCTCCATAGCATTATTCCAAATTTCCAATGATTGTTATTCAACCAGGAATTCTTTATGAGATTAGGTGGATCTGTTGCAAAATTCAAATTGGAAAAAAATATGTGTTGTTCAGTTTCATTTGGAAACTAGGATCTGTTTTGATATTTTGTTCTAGGAGCATTTGCTTGGCTTCCTTTAAAGGAGTGTTGAATTTACCGAATAGGTGTTCTATATTGTGAATTGTAGCATATTACAAAATACCAGTAATTAAATTAAAAGGGGTTCCTGATTTTGGAAGAGAGCCACTCTGTTTAATGGCTAGATTATAAATCACTAAAGAAGCTCATGTGGCCCAAGTGACCACTTAATCATTAGTTAAAGGGCAACTTACCTTGGGTGTGGGGTTCAATCCCCATCCCTTCCTGCATTCCCCCTTTCTGCATTCTTCCGCTGTGGCTGTGACCGTTACTGCCAAAAAAGACAACTGGTGAATTGCACTCTTGTCCAAATTTAATATCTTTCATTAACAATTCTAACTTTACTAACCTCTAATCATTACCCTTGTGGAAAAAACAAAATTATAAAACACTAAATTCTCAACTTTTTTTATGAAAACCAAACTCTTGAATTTAGTGTATGATGAAACTTCTTTTAGTAATAGCTTGATTTTCTCTCCCTCTCTCTCTCTATTCTTAAAACGTCACCAGCCCAGGGAGATGCATAGCGCCCGTCATGATTCCTGAGGTCAAGGACGTCTAAAAATGCAATAGAGGCTTGCAATGAATCATATTTTACCCATTGATCCCTTTTTGGACATAAATAGCACATTATATTTGTTTCAAGTAATATTAAAATACAAAAAAGAGGGACAAATAAACTTTTTGAGTGTATTATTAAATTGAACTCAAATAGTTGCTGTGTATAACCCTCACTAAGCAAAAGCCGAATGACTGCTCAAATTTTTCACGACTTAAATAAATGTATAATCAGCAACAAACAGCGAAGCAGCCACTCAAGCTCGCAATGTGAAGGTCTACCCATCACCATCGCCCGTATTGACTGCATAATGGCCGATGTTTTTCCCCTAAACATCAGAGAAATTAGGGGCACAAATTAGTGAGCTGCTGGCAGAAACCCAGGGATGATAAATTTACTTTGAACTGGAAGTAAAACCCATCATCACCAAGCTAAGCTTGGCGCATTAAATATCTGGATGCCTATAGGTAAGTTGACTAGGTAGTTCAGTCACTAAAACAGTGTAGAGAATGATAAATTTACTTTGAAATGGAAAACAATTACCTCAGATAGCATCCGCTGCTTGTTCAAAAACTGGGTCCTTGCTTTATTCGCGGCAGAATTTGGTGATTTGAAGAATCTCTGTAAAATAAAATCAGAAGATACCACTTTTAAGTCACAAACCATGGAAAACGAAATGATGACTGTCAACTGTCCTGTAACAAAGGTAGATATAAGATGGTCAACCCAGAATTAGGAACGAACCTTTTCAGCACTAGACATGTGATGTTCTCCACCAAGAAGACGCTTTGTTGGAGTAAACCCAAACACACCTTGAAGGAAGTCATTTTCCTGCAAAAATAAAGATAGATTTTTATCCTGAACAATTCTTGGGAGGAGGGGGGAAAAACAAGCAATTTAAATCAATAGACATTAACTCGACCCAAAGGCTCAAGGCAAGATAACCAACCAGCATGTGTTTGATGAATCCTCCACCAAGAAAGTGCTTCAGATAGTTCAACTGTTGAACAATTGAAATTTGACAGCCTCATAGTGTTAATAGTCATCGAAGAGAATGCAACTAAAAAAGAAATTGCAGAAAATATGAGAAAGGAAGAGGAACCTGAATTAGCTGAGACCATGTAGATGTATTTAGTGAATCCCTACCAATCTTCATTGATGTTTCAGGAGTGTAATCATCCTAAAATAATCAAGTAAATAGTGAATACTGCAGAGTGGTAAGGGATCAGCCAGTTTCACGAAAATGAAGAGGAAAATACCTCAAGGAAGTCCAAAATATCTTTGAACAAGTTCCGCTGGCTGTTAAGATCTTTCTTAGCTGAACCTTTACCACCAGCCTCCGCAGAGAGTTCCCTGACTTGATTCAGAATTTTGGCCCTCAGACCTTGTATATGCATTAATCCTTCTTTAGATTTATTTCCCTCTTGAACAGAACCATCACTGGACCCTTCACCTTCAGAAGAAAACTTCTCTAAGATTCCTATCTCAAAAATTAGAGCCAATGCTTCACCAGCAGCAATGCGAATAGATCGATCATTCTTATCCAGCAAACTAGAAAAATATGAGATAGACCTGCAAAATTTGCAAAGAATGATCAGCCCTTCACTTTTCTCTGACTGCAAAGAACCATACTTTTGTTTTGTAATGCAAACCATCATGATGACAGATTTAGGTTCATTTCAGTGTTTTCTGAAATTCAAATCCTAACAAGGTATCAATTGGATAAAACCTAAGAAGACCCTGGCAAGGTGGAAGGCTGTGATGAAAATCGATCATCTTTGTGAAGAAAGAACAAGAATAAGAATTAAAACCAAGATCAATGTAGTTCACTTACTGTTGCCAATCTTTGGGATTAAGCTTCCTTCCATCCATGGTTGTCAAAAGGAATGCCCAGGCTGATACAACTGATGTAATTATAGCAGCAGAAAGTTTGATAGTGACAACCTACAAGCCAAAAGAATCAATTAGTTCTGTAACAAAGCCAATCACCATTAACACCCTCTCAAAGTTCCTATCTGCCAGCAAAGACTATCATAGATAATGAACTTTCCCAGAATAATAGCATCAAACAGAAAGAATGTTTGCAATAACACACATCATTGGATGCTTTCCTACTAGCATAAATCATGCAGAAATACGTACATTAGAACCTTGTTTTGGATGTACTAGTTGCCACATAATTTGCATTGATCTCTCTGTTTCCTCAGGATTTCCGCCAACAAATGTGACAACAGCCAAACACTCAAGCAACTGCAGTCACAAATCAAATAGTGTGATGAAAAATCAGGTCGAGCATCATAAAAACAGAGCTCACTACAAGAAGACTCAATTCCAAAATCTAGTAAGAAATTTGATCTTGCACATACCGAAGCTATCTTTGAGGACTCAGACCCAGATTTAAGGGCCTGTGAAAGAGGAGTGAATGAATCGTCCAATATTTCCCGGGCATTGTCTCCCTCACCAACAGTCAAAGCAAGCAATCCTATCAAAAGAAATTGTTAAGAGAGAAAATCAGATTTTCATGTTGTCAGTTTCTTTGAGAGGAATAAGGGCATCAGCACCAATGTCTTGGAACTAACCAATGGCATGAGATGCTAAAGATACTTCTTTACTGGAACCCTTTTTGATGGAGTTCAGACACTGATGCAATAATGTGGCAAATCTGGATTACACAAGCATAAAATATGAGCATCTAAACCACAAAGATATGATGGTATAGCATCAACCATGCATTTAACTAAAAAAGTAATATTTAAGATATGGTTTGCTTGCTTGAAACCCACTTGAAAGATCAATTTACATTCTTTTTTCATAAGACTAGATAAATTCTACATTATTGAAAAGTGCAAATTTTACAAAAATCTGATACAAATAAAAGCACGCTATCCAGTTTCCAATCCTTCTAGTATAAATAATATTACCGCTACAATAAAAATATCAGAGAAATGCTTACTTCTTCTCCACAAATTCATGCTGCAAGTTGCTACTGAAAGCCTCACTAATACGTGACAAAGCTTTCTCCCTTGTAGCACCCCTTTAACCATTCAAAAAAAAAATAAATGTCAGACAGGCATTGAACCCAAAATCATCTTTTTATTAAATACTAACAAGCAAAAAAATAAATAAATCTAAACCAACCTCTTTTCAAATAAAGCATCAACAGCTTCATCTAACAAATTATCTTTATTAAGCTCCATTTCTTCATTACCATATACGGACATACGATCAGACAACACTGTTGACGACGAAGCAGCACTACTACTATCCTCATCATCACTATCTAACATTGCAGCACTCTTTCGCTGAGCTTTGCCTGCCAATTTACGTAGCCAAAACCCATTTCTTTCAATTCCATTCAACCCAACCAAAACCATAAAATTAAAAATTGAACCTTCATATCATTTATCACAGACTTAACGATTTAGGATTCAATTATTCAATTAACACAAAATTTAGCTCATAATCCGACTAAATAAACAAAATCAAAGATACCCAAACACACAATTAATCATGATTCCTCAGAAC